CTGCGGGGCCTGGTCCATCGCCGTGTACACCCGCGGCGCCGACAAGCTGCGCGCCGCCGAGCGGTGAGGCTGGCGGGGAGCGCGGTGCTGCGCGGGCGCCGGGCGCGCTCCCTCCTCGGGGTCTGCTGGTGCCACGGGCGGCACCTCTGCGCGCTCGTCCCGCGCTGCTCCGTGGGCCCTGGTCTCCCTGCCTGGGCGCAGGAGGCTCCGGGGACTTGCATGGAGCCTTTGGCTCCGCAGGGCTGATGTCCGTGGCCGCAGTGCCCAGGTTGGGGCCCGGTGGGTGCAAGGAGCGCGTCCTCGTGCTTGGGGCAGCAGGCGATGGTGCAGGAGCCGTGTGCTCAGCTTGTCCTCGTGCCGGTGGTGGCAACCACCCGGGATGGGCGCCCTGGGATGCTGGGCAGGCTCCAGCTTGGTGCTGTGCTCGCCCGGCCTTGCTGCTGGGTGAGCCCGCTTGCCTGCGGGTGCCACCAAGGGCCGGGGTCACCTTGTGACAACCTAGACACTGCGTATCCCATCTGCTCTCCTGGGGACGCCGGCACAGGGCGTCACACACGTGTACCTCTCACCAGGTACGCCAAGGAGCGCAAGCTGAGGATCTGGAGGGACTACGTGGCCCCCACGGCGAACCTGGACCAGAAGGACAAGCAGTTTGTAGCCAAGGTAGGGTCTGGCGGGCATGGAGAGGGGCCTGCGGCAGAGCCAGCAGGTTGGTGCTGCCCTTGCCGGCTTCCACGTGTGGTTGGGCATGTGGAACACACACGTGGGGCTGAGGCAGAGGGATGGGGCCTCTGGAGATCCCCAGGGCCACCTGTGGTGGGTTGCCCGGGCCCTTGTCTGGTGTTGAGCATTCCCACAGATGGAGACTCCAGCCCCTCTCCAGGCAGCCCATCTCGGCTCAGGGTATGACCACCCTCGCAGTGGGGAAATGTCTGATGTTTGGGTGAAGTTTCCTGTGTTTCAGTTCATGCCTGTTGATTCTTGTCCTGTCACTGGACACTGCTGGGAGGGTCTGGCCCCGTCTTCTTTACCTTTGTATATCCATAAGCAAGGTTAAGGATAAGGTCCTTGCTGAGCCTTCTTTTCTGCAGCGCGGTGGCCCCAGCTCTCTCCGCCTCTCCTCACATCAGAGCTGCTCCCGTCCCTCCGTCTCTGTGGCCCTTTGCTGGACTCGCTCCAGCAGCTCCACGTCCCTCATGTCCTGGGCTGGCCACACCGGGACCCAGCGCTGCAGCGGTGGCCTGGGGTGCTGCTGGCCTTGGGGCACTGGCACGAGGGCACGTTTCTGGCCTCTGTACGCCCAGGTCCTTCTCTGTAGAGCTGCTCCCAGCAGGTCTCCCAGCCCATCCCGCTGCCGGGGGTTATTGCTCCCCGGAGCAGGACCCTGCCCTACCTCGATGGAACCTCCTGAGGTTCCTCTGTGCCCATCTCTCTGCCCGGGACCCTGGACACATCCCCGGGGTGGCTTTGTCCCCAGCTGGGGTGGCATCCCTGGGGCTGTGCTGAACACGCAGGGCTGGAGGCAGAGCTGGCCCCAGCTCGTGGCGTTTCCCAGGCCGGAGGGACCTCGGTGACGATCAGGGCCGGAGCGCGCGGGCTCGGTGCAGCGCATGCCGCGCTCGGAGCGGCGCATGCCGCGCTCGCAGCCGCTCGCGCTAGATGGTGCTGCCGGCCCGCGCGTCCCG